GTATGAAAACAATGGACTGGAAACAAGAAAACAGTCAAAGGGGGTTGCGGGCTGTTGGATTATCGTTAGGTAACTGTGTTACAGTTTCTATAAGGCAGAGGGACATTGGCAATTTCTGTTACTTGTTCAAAAATAATATTAGCACTGGTAAATTAATCTACTTACTTGATATAGATACTCTATGAATTGACGCTTTGCAGTTATATCTATTTTCCGTGCTATGACATCTAGCAATAGCCCGTAAGGATAGTTTACTACGGGCATATGACAGTGGCCATGACTGGTTGATTGTCGCTGCATCGCTTTGTGTGAAGAAAAGGACAGCGATGACATGGATGAGAAGATATCTGAAAGAATCTTCAGAATTAACCCACGGTGGAAAACGATTCAATAAGTTTATCGAATCACAATGTGGAGGAACTGATTTCACGAAATGAGAAGAATTCGACTGTAACACTGTCGTTTCTACGGATGAAACTCAAGGCCGAATACGATGAAAAAGTTTTCATCACAATCATCAACAACTATTTGAGTTGAAAACTGATTGCAATCAAAAAGATTCATCAAACAATAGTAACAATGAATTTGCTGGATAATAAAGAAAAGAGGAAAAGTTAATATGATAATCTGTTTTTGAGTCATTTCTTCTTAGATATGTCCAGCATTTGCAATGGTACGAGGCACTTCGACATCAGATCATATGGATCGATGAAATCAAATTAACGTAGATTGTGCAAAAAAATTTGGGCGAGCACCAGGAGGTCAACGGTGTTGGATACAAGTGGCCAGTTCAAAAGGAAGAAACCTGCACATCATAGGTGCTATGACTACTGATGAGTTGATGAACTATGCTCTGAAAAGAAGATTCTAAAGCTCGGTACTGTGTCTGTTACAAACGCTTGTTGATTGATTATTGCAAGAACAGCACAAATCGTATGTGATTACGTGTGGCAACGCGCCCTGTCACTTTAGATTGGAAAATGTGGCGACCGGAGGGAGTGAGCATTCTCAGACTTGATCCATGTTTTCCAGCGTCGAATCCGAATGAAATGATATGGTGCATTACAAAAAGGTACATCAAAACGGAGCTCCGAAATCAATATGCCAAGATCATGGCGAGTGATCCTAAAGGACAAATTAACCCACAGGATTGGAGGATGGCATGTTTGGAAGGCATTACTGGTGATGTCAAGTTTCAGATCATGAGAGATAATTGTCAGCATGCATCTAACCATGTTCGTGTACATTATTCGACAGCTATCAAAATGCTTGATTATTAACACATTTGATCTTTGTTTAATCACTGAACGTTTTTGTAAATGGATGATATGAATCAGAAAGTTCTATCATTGTTGAAGTCAACAGGCTGGTTGCATGAGGAATTTCATGGACTTTAAAGCATATTGACAGTAACAGTATGCTGGTTATCCACTTTGAATTTGTGTATAGTTTCCCACAGATGCAGTCCCTTGGTAGGCAGTGTTTTCCAGGGCACGTGCTGATTAAGGGTAAATCGAGGCGGGCAGTTCATGCATCGTTAAAACCCAACGATCACGGAAGACCAGTAGACTAGGTTGAGCAGGTCGACCTTTTGCTTTCCGTTGGGGTGCAAATGGCACAAACTATCAAACGTTGGCCTAAATGATAACCAACAGTTGGTTTTATCTTCATTGCGACGGACGAGGAATCATCTTTGATCTGTGTGGTGAGTGTTACGATGGGAAAAGTTAGCTGCAATATTCACATCATGAGCTTGTGCATGCTGAATATTTCGTTAAGCGTGCGTTTCAATGTCAGAAATACGTAAACAATGGCACTTGCTTCAAAGGAATTGGTGTTATTTAGGGAATTACTGCCCCAATGGATAAGGTAGGATACTGAGGGCCTAGACTGAATCCACTCGTGCAATGACTCATTCCAACACTCACGTTTGGGCATGGTGACCGACTTATCGATCCACCTTGACGTGATTCGCTTCCTTACCCGACCGACAGAGGTCAATTATCGCCAGGTTCGTTCACTCGCATCTATGACTCACGCTCGATCAACGATCATGAACATAACGTTCCCGGGTGTGGGTGGGGAGGGGGGGGTTGGACGACCAGCCCATCCCGCAGAAAATTTCATCCCCGCTCAGTAACTCACTCAAAAAGTACTTTTGTTTGTAAAACTTCCTTT